TGTTGAAACATTGTTACATCCTCAGAAGATAGGTATCTGGGTAGCAGTTTCAAGAAAACAGATAATATGCCGGCAAGTAATAAATGAAGAACAATACCGTAACATTTTACAAGCCTTGGAATTAATGCATGGTGATGAACTGCATTATCGGTATGTTCAACAAGATGGAGACACAGCACGTACTGCTGCAAAAACTATAAGGTATCTTCAGGAAATTTATGTTGACAGATTGATTACTAAAAGTTTGTGATCTTCTTGAAGTACCGATTTCACACCTTTAGAATTTTATTTGTTTGGCCATATCAAAAACAAGAAATTTAAAAATCCTCTCCACACCCTCGAAAATCTGGAAGCAGCAACTGAAGATAAACTAAACATTATAACACCAAATGAATTTGAACACGTTTTTGAGTGCATACAAGGCACAGTAAATTTTTGTTTAGGAAACCAAGGTGTGTTAATTTTGAACATCTATTATAAATTTATGGATATAATAAGTTTCTGTCAGCTGAGTAAAAAACTTTGTATGGTAAATTAATTAACCTATAATTTACATGTAAATATTGAAAAAAAATTCATCAAACACTGAAATACATGTTTTGTATTTTATTAATGTTATTTTCATTATCTTCGGATGAAAGTGGATTACAAAAGAGCCTATACTTTTTACGGGACAATCTTCAATCAGAAAATACTTTTTCAATATAGAATAGGATAAAAATTCAGAATATCTTAGACTATGATTATTTTGTAAGTAAAAATGTAAATGATTTTTTTTCTGTTAAAAAAAAGAAACACATTTTGCAGATTAAAGTTCAAAGTTTGTAAAGAATTGAAATACGTACTCCACTGGACTTTCTTTTTTTGTCTTTAGGAAATTTTGTGTTAATCATTGACTCCATTGTAAGTTTGGTTGCCTAACAGTCGCGGTGACATAGGACTGAGGCATTTATGTATACAGTGCCATTGTATATTTACAACAGAGCTGCGGTTCTCCGGGCGTGAGATTCGAATGCGTGGTCTTCATCAACAACAAATCAGATACAAAAAAATGTTTGTTAAACAAATATCAGTTGTGGGGTTGGACTTAATTTTTCTATCGCAATTGAACTGACTTATTTATAATCCAAATGGGATTGGTGGTAGAGAGGTCTATGTTTGAATCGATGTTGCTACGGAAGATTGTAATTCAGCTATACTGGTAGAGGAGAAATAGAGACCCTTTCTGTGGGTACTGTAAGATGGAAGAACATTGAACATTGGTCTGAGTCAATATAAGAGGTTGATATAAATCAGCGTTTGACCAGAGATCTATATAAGAATATCGATCTCTTGTTTAGTCTCTATGATACTGCTAATGCAATAGCAACTCGTGTTCTAACGTCAAACTCTTTTGATCAGCCTGTAAAGTAGTAGTAGTACTACTACTACTTTGCTCCAATAATGTCATTAAATACAGCTAGGATAATTCGTCGGCCGAACACACCAGACATATATCGGTTTCGGGCTTGTCAGCCCTCATCAGTATGCCATATGTTCGAAAATTCCAAAACCGGTATCTGTTTGGTGTGTTCCGCTGACGAATGATCCTAGCCGTATTTGATATTGCTAATGTAATTTAATGCTAGTTATTTTAATTTAAAAATATACTGTAATTGCCTTCAATAATGTAGATTGAGTCTCAAAATTGCTTTGCCGGAAGAAACGAAACTGTGGGCCATTACGTGTTTTCCTTTATTTATATTTGTTCCGGTTGACCTTTACAGCCGTTGCGACAAAGTTTTTAAAGTAATAAAATAGTTTATACCCAACATAAAACGTAACGTCTGTGTTTTCTTTTATTTGAGCCGGAGAAAGTTGGAAAATGTCTGAAGGATCTAATTTGACCCGAAGTGATTTGTAAATTGATGCGACCTCTGCTCGACTTTTTATATCCTCATGTATATTTCCATTAAAGGAAGTGTTCAGTATTCGACAGGAGTACCCGGTTCGTAGCTGGGCCTGTTAGTTGTTCTATAAAAGTAAATCCTGCAAAGACGTGCACGGTTTGCCATTTTGCTTCTTCGTATTCCCCGGGAATATCGCGTAGATATGACACCCATATAGTCACTTTAAAATTACACTTTATTTTAATAGTGGGTCTTTCACAAATTTTTCTTGAGCGCCATTATGACCGACTCGAGGGCGTTTTACATTAAACTACTTTAAAAGATTTTATTCTCAACACATAATTTATAACCCCATTCTACGATTACCGTGCGTTGTCTTTGTTTATTCCCACCGTCCCCATTAAGTCATCTCGTTGCGTGATGTATGGCATGTAGAGCTGGATAAGTATCCGTTTATCCGGTTATTTTGGTGACAATTGTATGTAAAGGCAGTGGTTTGATTACAATAATTAAAAACAATAATATATTTGTCTTGATTAATATTTAATTAAATAAACGGATAGTTAGATTGTTACCTACACTTACTTACGTATCTGTAATGTACAATATAGGTTATCGCAATCTATTCGTCGGATCAGTTAACCAATTATTTTAGTAGTTTAGACCTAAAATATTGTCTCTAAAACAGATCTGTGTAGAAACCACTGTGACACCTTAGTAGTTCATGACTTTGATACAATGATAACAATGTTGTCAAGACATTACTACCTGTCACTGTCACGACCTACCATATAATGTCCATGGGAAATTAGATCTCACGGCCTAATTAGTGAGATTTCGTTACATTACCTATACGCATTTTGGACCGTATCAATGTGCGATATATCAAAATATATTATAACTAAATCTGTAAATCCTTACGTAATTAGAAAAAAGGCAGAAATATCTGAAATAGGTCTAACAATTACAAGATATCTTATTTTCTTAATAAAAAAAACTTCTTTTCGTTTTTTTAAAGTATCTTGCTTATTGTTACAGATGGACCCAACAAACCCTATTAGTCCAAGCATTCTGTCACGGATTAATGTTAAATTTGCAGAAATTATTACCTGGACAAAAAAAATATGACCGTATAGAAAATTAAATTTTAAATTGAATTTCTTGTTCTTTAAACTCGATCCAATATGACGAACATGGTTAAAAAAAATCGCAAAGTTGAAAAAATCGGTTTTTCTAAAATAACTAAAAAAATATAACACGGATTGAAAAATTTTAAATGAGAAAGTTGTAGGTTTTAAAAAGATCTATCGACTGATTTTTTGAAAGTATCGATTGCTTTGTTACTTTTCGAGATATATCGAAAAAACCGTTAAAAATCTTCTCTTTTCTCTTCTTCTATAACTCGTTTACATTTACGTGCCCATATTTGCTATTTACTGCAAGCATAGCCCGCGGCAAGCCAAAAAAGTACATTTTTGAAAAATTTAAAAATATTAATTATTTTTCGAGATATATCGATTTTTTGAAAAAAAGGCGCTCTCGAAAATTGGCTAGATCTTCTCAGCGGATAGCCCTACAGTAACGATTTTCGGTTTATTTTCTTCGTAAAGAGTTATATTATCATGCTGTTAAAAAATGTTGACGATTTTATTAATTTTAAGGATCAAAAAATGACTGAAAAAGTTGCACTTTTTTTGGGTATGTTTTTTTCAAATAACTATTTCAATTTTTATTATTTTTTTGTACTTAATCTGGGGTAGCTAAACACGAATATTATAGCATTTTCGCCTTAGAAGCAAAATAGACCCGTAAATGTTTAGTTTTCTTTCTTTAAAAGTCATTTTCATAAAATAAAAATTGAAATAGTAATTTGAAAAAAACATACCCAAAAAAGTGCAACTTATTCAAAGTCATTTTTTGATCCTTAAAATTAATAAAATCGTCAACATTTTTTAACAGCATGATAATATAACTCTTTACGAAGAAAATAAACCGAAAATCGTTACTGTAGGGCTATCCGCTGAGAAGATCTAGCCAATTTTCGAGAGCGCCTTTTTTTCAAAAAATCGATATATCTCGAAAAATAATTAATATTTTTAAATTTTTCAAAAATGTACTTTTTTGGCTTGCCGCGGGCTATGCTTGCAGTAAATAGCAAATATGGGCACGTAAATGTAAACGAGTTATAGAAGAAGAGAAAAGAGAAGATTTTTAACGGTTTTTTCGATATATCTCGAAAAGTAACAAAGCAATCGATACTTTCAAAAAATCAGTCGATAGATCTTTTTAAAACCTACAACTTTCTCATTTAAAATTTTTCAATCCGTGCTATATTTTTTTAGTTATTTTAGAAAAACCGTTTTTTTCAACTTTGCGATTTTTTTTAACCATGTTCGCCATATTGGATCGAGTTTAAAGAACAAGAAACTCAATTTAAAATTTAATTTTCTATACGGTCATATTTTTTTTGTCCAGGTAATAATTTCTGTAAGCATTTCTCTATAATGCTTGGACTATATGACTATGCTCGACAGGGAACGTTCTATCCAAATATGCAAAACTATACAGGGTGTTCCATTTAACTTAACAAAGTTAACATCCACGGCCATTTCGTTTGGACTTCATTTGTTTTTCTACTTTCATTTTCGAAAAATTCATGAAAAATCGTGCAATTTTTATATTTCAAATTTTTTTGTAACTCTTAAAACAAAAAAGTTAAAGGGGGTCAAAATATATTGAATCACCCTGCACATATTTCCAAATCTTCAATAATTTACGTTATTTTGAAAGAAAAATTTAGAAACTAATACTAATTCGTGATTAGATTTTATCACATTTAGATACATTTTGTACTGTATTTAACAGAATTATTAATTACGAATCCATTCACTACAAAACAAACAAAAAGTTCTGAATTTTTATGTGACCAGGAAAATCTGTTTTGGGTTACCTACTCATTGTTTTATTTTACAATTATTAACGACGATATTAAAGATTGTATATCACAAAATCATATACACAGATTAATCTTGTGCCCGATGTCAACGTCATTACAAAATCAGATGGAGTAGTACATAGTTACTATTTTGTTCAAATCATGTAAATAATAAATTAAGCTAATAAATAACTTTTAATAACTGAAAAAATGTGTTACACTTATTTATTGATATGATTAATTGCACTCTGGATTATCTAACCATGGGTAAGAAGCTGGACAAGGAACGCAAGATTTAAAGTATCTGACACTGCCATTTGGTTTTACCAATGTACAGCTGTAAGGCGTACATGTGGCATTCCTTTCTGAGACATCAGTTTTGAAATCAGACAATGGAACCGGATTCCTCATCCAATCAAGGACTTGCTTCTGTGTTACTAGGAAAACGTCGTCATAACTTGCGAGTTTGTCCAAGAATTTGATGAATCTCTCTCGGCTGTTCTCAGTAAAATCAAACCAATAAGAGAACATACGCAGAGTTAGAGGTTCTCTTGTGCTGTTACGGATGTTGCCTATTTCGCCTATCAACCATTCGGCAATTTCGTCGGAAGTACCGCTAAAATTAAAAAATGGTGTTAGTTTTGGAACAATTAACTAAATTGTCTAAATGATGCCCTGGTCACCTATAAACTGTAAAGCAATAGACACAAATTTATAGATTCCAGTTGTCACTGGAAAATAAAAGTTTTATACACTGTAAAGAGGTAATTCGATTATTCATCTTCGTTAGATGATATTTAAATATTGAGAGAACACTAGAGGTTCATGCATAAAATAAATTTGACAACAAGCTTTTAGTGACGTCATTTTATTTTCATATTCTTTTCAGCAAACCCTTTTATTTGATACCCATATCATGGAGGTGCATAAAAAATAATTGGTCCGCCATCTTTGGGTCCGCCAAATTGTATTTACGTCACTTAGCTAGCCATGCATTGTCATGCAAACTTAACGTTTATTCAAAATTTCAGTTCAATCGGTTGGGGATAACTGTTTTAAAATTTAGTTCCAAGATTTGACCCATCTAAAGGCGGTTTTCCACTAAACGGACAAAACAAAAACAAAACACAAACTTGTGTCGAATTAAACAGAACTGTAACTTTTTGCAAACTTTTTTAAGACTGGCGTGTTTTGCGACAGTTGGAGTTTTGTTTTTCGGATCCCGCTCGAAAGCGGTCACATCAAAAGGTTTCGACGTGTTTTGAAACTCAAGTCTGTTTAGTGGAAACGGGCGTGTTGTGTTTTCTATTTAAGTGATCCAACCCAATATCTATGTTGGCGTTTTCTTCTTCCAAAAGACAATATTTTAATCATTAATGAATTATGGCTATTAAAAAATATAAATGTGTACTACGGTTAAGGTGTTAACTTGGCTCGTATACAAACTAACTAACCAAGTAAACAGTTTAACCGTACATATATACACTTACTTTTTTTCCAAGGACTTCAGTATAAACCAGCCATAACTAAGAATAAAAAAATCTTCTCTAAACATGTTGGTTGGTTATTGGAAAAATGTGTTCTAATTTATTTGCGACAACCGGTGGAAAAGGACCGAAAACAAAAACAAAACTCGAACAAAATGTAGCCCGCTTGATGGAAACCAGAGTTTTGGGTTTGTTTCATTTTTGTTTTTGTTTTTTCAGGTTCTAGAAAACACAAACAGTACAAAAACTCAACTGTCCGTTTAGTGGAAAACCGCCATAACAAGGCAAGTTAAATAAAAGCTTGTAGGTAATAATAAAAATGATTATTGGAAATTAGAATATTCAAGTTATGTAGGTATTGCTAGTAGTATCGCTAAAAGTGACGTATTAAAATTTGAGTAACAAATAAGATTAAGGAAAGAAAGAAAGCTTTAACTCTGAGCCCGTGACTCTCGAGTTAATTGATTTCAGATGACAGAATTCTAAGCTAATTCAGTAAGCCTAATTAAGTGAGCTTTAAACTAATATGAGTGTTTCAAGTTTAGAACATAGTATTTAGCACACCTGATAACGTCAAACGAACCCCAGACGACCCCAAAAACGTATGGATATATTGGTTTACATTGTTGACAATTGATTCCCTACATTTGACCTTGAACTGACCTTAAATCAGATCTAATTGGGTCAAACGAACACCGGATTCGGATTCAGTAACCCCAAAAACATAGAGATATATGGGTTTACTTTGTTGGCAATTAATTGATTCTATACATTTGACTTTGAACTGACCTTCAACCAGAGCTAATCAGGTCAAAAGGACTCCGAATTCGGATTCAGCAACCTCAAAAACGTATAGATACATTGGTTTACATTGCTGGCAATTGATTCCCTACACTTGACTCAACTGACCTTAACCCAGATCCGATCGGGTCAAATGAACATCGGATTTGGATTCACCGACTTCAAAAACGTATAGACATGTAGGTTTACTTTTTTGGCAATTGTTTCTTCACATTTGACCTTGAACTGATCTTAACACAGACCTGATTGGATCAAACGGACACCGGATTCGGATTCACCGACCCCATAAAGGTATAGATACGTAGGTTTACTTTGTTGGCAATTGATTCTCTATATTTGACCTCAAACTGACTTTCAACCAGAGCTAATGAGGTCAAACGGACTTCGGATTCAGATTCAGCGACCCCAAAAACATCTAGCCGCCATGGTCTTACCTTTCGGACTTCCCACTTTTTTTGTGGGGGTTGTGAAAGAAGGTTTATATGGAATTTCAACGTAACTTCTGTACATATAAGGTAAAAAATAATACAATCTTCACTTAAGTTCCATTATTTCGTAGATTTTATTGCAATCAAATATCAGTTGTTTTGGAAGATATAGTCATTTGTTGTTCGTTCTTCTCCGTTACCCTTGAAAATATCCAGGTGTCCATTTTACAGAACTTTCATAGATGTTTATAAGCCACGTGACCGCCGAGCTTAGGCAACCAACATTGCAGGGCTGGTACTGTCAAATAAATATCCCTAAATTTTAGATACACCAATATTAACGATTCATTTACAATAACTGATTGGTTGACTAGAATCTCATGAAAAATTATACCAATCACCAGCCGGTGAAATAGTGCGATGTGTTTTAATGTAATCTTGAGCTTATTGTTTTAATTTTACCGAAATTTAATTGCCAACATGAAGGAAATAAAATTACTGTTCCAAATAAAATTGTTAGTCACGTGGCTAGCAATAATTTTTGAAGACTGTACAAAGTTACTTTTATTCAGTAAACCTTAAATAGTTGGTTAAACCTTTTGTATCTGTAGAAAACATTCCTTTAAGAGGAAAAAAAATGCATAAACCATAAAAATTTACTGTAATAATAAAAAAACACGGATCTCTAATGAAACTTAAGACGTATTTTGTATTTTATTTGGTATAAAATTCTGCACGGTACAGACATAATTCATATGCAACTTCTATTTCTTCGTCATATATAGTTTCATCAGAATTTGAATAAGTCTATTATTTTTTTTACTATATTGTATTTAACTTTCAAAGACATTCTCAATTTTATACCAAAACAGGTTATAGTATATTGATACTGCTTATTTTTTAAGTCTATTTGATATTATTACCAAAAGCCAAAAGAACTATTTAATGGCAGCAGTATTTTGTACTTATACTGATCAAATCAATAATGCTTAATGACGGCAAAATAGAAAAAATAGTTCAATGGATTTGTTATGTTCGGTTTATACATTTTGCCTATCTTTCATATACTGCTAAAATGTAAGAAAATAACTCTAGCTAGCCTAGCCCAAAATTAAAGAAATACTGCCATAAGTTCGACTAACAAAAACATCCTATTTATATTTTTAATGAAAGTGATCATTGATCATGTAGAACTTACGTAATATTACACGTAACTATAGCATTGCATTCTTTGTGGTCTGGCCCTAGTAAGTTATTAATTGGAAGAATCCAAAATCCGCGGAACTCTTCGTTTGGGCATTTGACTCCTAAAGGGCATTGTTGGGTACTCAAGTAGTCGAGGGTATATGGAAACAAAGGTTTGTCAGATGAAGTTTGCCAGGAACTTTCATAAGACAACCCTATAGCCTGATATGCTCTGATGGAAGAGTTGCCAGCCAATTGTAACCAAGGGGTTCTCACTCCTAGGATATGTTCTCTGGGAATATTTCCAAATTTATTAAGAATTTTCTTCTGTCCTCCAAATTCTTTCTCCAAAATATCCTCGTTGGCGTCATACCAGTAACGCGGGAGTGGGTTCATTCTAAAAACGTGATAGTATAACATAGAAATGTATTAGAATCAAAACGCCTCAAAAATGTACGATTCATAGTTTATAAAATTCTTACGTAATTGATTTCACGCCAATTTCAAATCCATGATTGTAGAGATCGTTTACTCTTTTGTAGTCCGTATATTCATGGGGCACAAAGAACGTGGCACCAATCGGATAACCATCTGGGTTAACTCTATTGAATAGAAGGGGTTGCCAAAAGTTGTTGAACAAATCATCAGTCACAATTTCTTCAAAAGTTAAACTAATGAGCTGTGAACAGTAGAAATAATTACTGTGAACTAAAAGCTTCTATAAAGAAAGATCAGACAGTAATAAGTACAGTAAGCAGTAAAAAAATGCATTAACTAATTAATTAGAAGCTAAAATATTTTCATTTTTTTACTGATGATATAAAAGCTTATTTTGGTAATACTTACCTGTGGAGTTAGTTCGTTAAGTTCTAAAGGCCCTGTAGATGATGAGCAACGACATCCATTCGAAGCTTTACAGACGTCAGTTGTGCATTCATCCGCTTCTTTGCCATTTTCGTACACTCTTGGCACAGCCAAAACTGCAATACGGCAGAGGATGACGAGCGTTATTATGAGTCTCATTCTAAAACAGGATCAAGCGGCGGAATATCTGTTTCTAAAAAATTTACTTTATTGGAATGTGTATCTTTAAATATATGATAAAATTATATTGATTCTTGTGTAAACATGTAAAATTGATAATTTTCTTATCTGATTTTATCTTATCTTTGAACGTGTCCTTTTACTCTTATAATTCACTTCACTTCACTTTCTCTTATTCACTTATACACCTTATTCTACTTTCTTTACATTCAATTTTATCTTATACTTCAAAATATTTTTTTTTATTTTCTCATATTATTTGCCCTTTCTAATAACTACATAATCCTTGTGTATTCTACTTTAAATTTGACACTTTTCTGACATATATTTTAATTCATCTACAAATTGTCTTTCATTTTTAATATCATTTATTACCTCTTATTTTAACTTATTTTCTATCTATTTACTAACATAATAATCAACTCAATCATAAATTTTAAAATAATCATTCCAACCATTGATTTTGCCACTTTGCCTTTTACATAACGATTTAAATTTAAATTTTACTTTTGTCTCATTAATCTGGTTTCATCTCAATTTCCCAAATTTATTTGCAAATTTTATTGTTATAAGAAAATTTGTCAAATCAATTTCTATTATACAAATTACCCTCGATCCTCGTAATATGGTTGTAATTGATTCACATTATATATTCCTTTGATTCTTACTGTATCTACGTATGTCAATTCATAGCTATTCGTTCCATTTATGGTATTAACAACATATGGTCCGTCATATGGTAGCATTAACTTAGCATATCTATATTCCTTTCTATTAGGAACTCTCAATGTTCTCACAACAACCAGGTCACCCTTGTTAAATTGTATATTGTTTGTCTTTTTCCTTGTCATTCGTTTCTGGTATCTTTCTGCCGCTTTCAATAGTCTGTCATTCACTTGCTGTATAAGTCGATCATACTGTATATTTTTGGAAATTGTCCATGGTCTGTCAGGTTNATAATAATAATAATAATAATAATAATAATAATAATAATAATAATAATAATAATAATAACAACGTGGCGCGCAGAATTCTGTTTTGTACAGAGCCTTCAAAGTCTCGTGACCAGTAATTTTGTTTGGAATACTATTTTTTCCTTTATGTTGGTTATTTCCGTAAAATTAAAACAATCAGATCAAGATTACATTAAAACACAATATTCTGTCCTGGTACTTGATACAAAAAATTTGAGTACAAACAGATGAGGTCAAAATAATATCAGTTCTTCATATAAATTTTTTCGATAACAAGTTACGGACTCTCGAAGGTGAAAATTAAAAAGTAATTTTTATTTAGTCTCTAAACTATTAACTTCAGCATGATGCAAATTTGGTAGTCGATAATACATGCGTACAACTTGTTTTTGATGATGTAAGTTAAACTTCGTTATGCCCAGAACGCCAGGGACGGACTATGCCTAATGATTAACAACCCAGAATTTTTGCAAAGATGACGATGGCAATCTGCCTGTATCAAAAATAAGTTCCTTGAAGAATTTGCCAACGATAATACCCTCTTGGTGCAACTCGGTAAAACTAACAGTTTAGGAAATATTTGTGATTTTATGTCACAGTGCACATCAAGCGGCGCCTCAAGCATTTTTGTTTTTAATTTTTAATTGGATATAATTACTATGTTAGAACTGAACATGTTTTTAACATAAGAGCCTCGAAAATCTTGCTGTCTACTATGTAATTTTCACTAACAAAATTTGCAAACACACTTTACATATAACACAAAATAGAAAAACAAAACAAAAGTATTTGTTTGTACACGAAAAAGCATTTCTGGGGTAATAATTTAATAGGTCTCTACGTTTTTGAGGAACATCTGAATGGACATCGATATTTGGAGTGTTTGCAAAATACTTTGCAGCCACTATTAGACGATCTTTCATTAGACATCGGAAAAAACATTTGGTTCATGCACGATGGGGTTCCTCCCCTTTTCAGTATTGATGTACGAAATTATTTATCCATTGTGTTTATTAATAAATGGATCGAGAGAGGAGGCCCAATTTCATGGCCACCACATTCTACAGGCTTTAACCCGATGGACTTCTTCCTGTGGGGATACCTGAAAAGTTTAGTGTTAGTAACCCCATTACAGAAAAGGGATGAATTGTTACAGAGAACTAATTTGCATTGTGATAATATTAGAGACATACCCCAGAAATGCTTTTCCGTGTACAAACAAGTAACATTCGTAGACTTAGGGAGTGTGTGGAGGTGGAAAGTGCCCATATTGAAAATGTATTTTGATAGTTTTCTTTCTTTTAAATTATTTTTTAACTTACTTTAACTTATTCTTGTTTTGTTTTTCTATTTTGTGTTATGGGTAAAGTGTGTTTGTCAAATTTTGTTAGTGAAAATTAGCAGACAGTAAGATTTTCAAGGCACTTATTTTAAAAATATGTACGGTTCTAACATAGTAATTATGTCTAATTAAAAATTAAAAACAAAAAATGGTGGAGGCACCGTCCGATGTGCACTGTGACATAAAATCACAAATATTTTCTAAACTGTTACTTTTATCGGCTTAAACCAAAAGGTTATTATCGTTGGCACAGGCAGATTGCGATCGTTATCTTCACAAGATTCTGGGTTGTTAACTTCACTTTCTTCATCAAAAATAACCTATACGCATGTGTTATCACCTTTAAGGGTACGTAACTTGTTAACGAAGGCCCGTATGAAAAAAATGTATATTAAGAACTGATATTATTTTCACCAAATCTATTTGTATATTTTTAGTATCAAGTATCGGAACACCCTGAATACGTTTGTACTGTATTTAACAGAATTAGTAATTACGAATCCATTCACTACAAAACAATATAAAAATTCTCAGTTTCTATATGTGAACAGCAAAATTAATTTTGGGATAGGTACTTATTGTTTTATTCTACAAAGCTTATTAAGGATGATAGTAAAGTTTGTATAAGATATCACAAAAGCAAATAAACGGATTAATCTTGTCCTAGATATCAACATCATTACAAAATCAGATTGAATTGAATGGTTAATATTTTGTTACAATATTTAAATAATAAATTGAGCTAATAAATAATCTTTATTAACTGAAAAAATATGTTACACTTTTATTTATTCGTTCTTGATATGATTAATTACCATCTGGATTATCTAACCATGGGTAAGAAGCAGGGCAAGGGATGCAAGCTTTCAGATATCTGTCTTGGCCATCTGGTTTCTGCAGTTTGCAGCTATAAGCCTTGCATGCAGCATTCCTCGTTGGTAATTCAGTTTTGAATTCGGACAATGGAACAGGGTTCTTTATCCAGTCAAGGACTTCTTTCTGTGATACGAGATAAACGTCATCGTAGGTCGCGAGTGTGTCCAAAAATTTGGTGAAACCGTCATAGCTGTTCTCGGTGAAATCAAACCAGTAGGAATTTATGAGCAATGTTAGAGGTGCTCTGTTACCGTTACGAATTTGATCGACTTCATCTGTCAACCACTTGGCAATTTCATCGGCGGTACCACTGAAATTGCAAAATATTTGTTAGTTAAGAGAGTTGCACCTAGAATTTATGCAAGTAACTGTTCGAAGAAAATAATACAATGAGACCTAACTACAGATATCATCATTAGGAAATATAATATTAATATTACAATATGTATTTTCACTGAAATATTTGAATATGTGCTTTTATTAATTAATTTTGGTATTTAGAGAATATCACGTGTCAGAAAAAGGTCAACAAATTTTGGTTCAATTATGAAAGAATATTATAGGAACAGTAAAACAGAATAACAAAAGGCGATGGTGGAATCTAATAAACAGTTATTATTCTGTTACGTTCTGATCTATTGGATTTTTCAAGCGAACTAATGAAGTGTCTATATGACAGTCAATTGAAACTTACGTAATGTTACAAGATGCAACAGTACTACACTCTCTGTTCTGCTCTCCATGAAGGTCATTAATTGGAAGAATCCAGAAACCTTTGAAAGCTTCATTTGGACATTTGCTTCCTAAAAGGCATTGTTGGTTGCTCAAGTAGTCGAGAGTATATGGATAGAGAGATATGTCAGGCAAAGTTGGCCACGAACTATCATAAGACAATCCCGCGGCTTGGTAAGCTTTAATAGAGTAGTTACCAGCCAATTGCAACTGAGGAGTTCTTACACCAGCGATATCTTCTTCAGGGATGTTCGCGAATTTATTAAGAATTTTCTTTTGACCTCCAAATTCTTGTTCCAAAAGTCCCTCGGTAGCACCACGCCAGTATGTTTGGAGGTTGTTCTTTCTGGAAACGTCAAGTTGAAATTTACTCAACATACTCAACCAAAACCAATTAAGTTTATTCTTAAAAAACACTTACGTGATAGAGTGTACACCGATTTCAAATCCGCTATTATATATTTTGTTTACTATTTCGTAGTCGGTATATTCATGTGGCACAAAGAAAGTAGCACTAATTGGCTCGTCATTTGGGTTGTTTCGTTCGAAAAGGAGAGGGTACCAAAAGTTGTTGTACAAGTCCTCAGTCACAGCTTCATCAAAAGTTAAACTGATGAGCTGTAAACAATAAAAAGAAAGATACCTAATATAATTCAATTAACGAAAAAAAAAATCATCAAAATGATGTGTTGGTAAAGAAATTCATTCTTTCCAAGGGAATAATTATGTATTTTGGATTTGGTTTGAAAAATCGTGGTAGTAGGTAGACACACATCATAATTCACTCTTTTGCACTACGTTTTGATAGAAAATCATATATAGGGTAATACATACTTGTGGAGACTGTTGATCAGAACTTAAGGGATTTGTAGATGTTGCGCAACGGCATCCGTCTGAAGCTACGCAGACGTCAGCTGTGCATTTTTCTGCTGCCACTCCATCCTCGTAGACCGTTGGCACAGCCAAAACGGCAGTACAGCAGAAAGCAAGAATCACGAGACTTTTCATTCTGAACACCAGGATCATACTGGAGATTAGCTGTTTTACAAAGCTTATATACACTTGATATTAAAATATGTATGATTCTGAGATATGACAAAACAATCGAATCGATACTTGTCTAAGCAATACAGATAAATTTATTTGACTAATACTTATGTTAAAAAATAGATAAGGCAGTGAGGGATTAAAACGTGCATGTGTTATGTTTATACAGGGTGATTCACTTTTTATGATTAGGAGTAAACGATTAAAGTATACACTTTTTCTCCCAAAGACTTCTTTTTACAGATATACCTAAGCTATATTGGTTTTACAAGTTATTGTGAAAATAGATCGGTTATAGGCGTCCGTGAGGGGCTCTGATAACACCTATTTTTAATATAATTTCTGGTGGCTCAGGTGGATTGATCTCTCTAATGGGAGGAAGTACAAGGGGACCAATTGGGTCTAAGTGCTGTAGCTTTGCTACCCTCCCCACAACTCCAGAACCCCAGAATATAATTTCTACTCTACTGGAAAATTTTCAAAATTAATATTTTTTTTTAAATTGGGGCTTATTCTACAGTAAAAAGGTCTCTTACTATTTTTAAATGAAATGAGTAGTTTTTGAGAATAATGGCCTCTCCGAAATAGAAGTTAAGAGATTACGCAGCATCATATTCAGATTTGTTTTAATTATAGCGATATAAAAACTAATTCAAATCATACAAAAGATTGAAAAAAATAAAAGTACAAGCTATTAAATAAATATCTGATGTCATATTTAACATTTAAGTGTGACATTTTCACTCATTGGAATAAAACAATCATTAAAACCAATTTAATATTATTTATTTAACAAAAAGTAAACTAAACGAAATGTTTGCGGTGCCTTTTCATTGTATGTTATTAAGGTATTAAAATAATTCAAACAATTTTTTTTAAATCGTATACAAACGATACCTCACAGATAACTACTGATATAGCGGAAAACAATCAGTACTTATTCCACGACAATACCTAGCTGACGATAAATAAATTATCCAAAATTGAAATTGTTAAATGCAATCATTCAAAGAAATATCCTGTATTCTTGTTCTTCTGTTGTCGCCATTAACTTAAGACTAAAAAAAACGGCTGCTACAGAAAGATCTTTTTGTTTCCATATTTTACTCGGGATTGTTTAATTCATCAGGTAGTTTTCCTCCTCATATGAAAACCTGTATATTGACAAAAAAGACCTATATATAATCACATCAAACGAAAAAAATACATTTTCAAACTACAGTGTTACATTCTGTACTGCTACTGTATTTTATAATTGTTTTTCTACAAAGGAATAGATACCTAGTAAACTCTAATAGTAAATAATAAATTATCCAAAATATTTAATAATTTGCTTTTTTATGGTAATACAACTTTTGTCCTCGGATTCTGAAAGAGTAAGCAATTTTCAGATACGTGGTTGATATACTTTTTTTGAAGGTCTTGTTCAAGGTTATTTGTAGGTCATCCCTAATTTTTTATGGTATTACAATTTCTGACACTTGAATACTGAAAGAGCGAGAAATTTTACGTTTAGAGACATAATAATTATTTTTCATTCTCAAGGTCATTTGAAGATCAAATTCCCCTCTCGAACTTCTCAAGTTGATATCCCGCTAGAATAGCGAGATGTCGGGAAAATGATCTCCAGAAAAGCTGTTTTTGTCATCCGGGATCCTAAATTTGACCATGAGATCGAGGGCATAAAAATCAGAATTTGGTTGTACAGCTTATGACCTAAAATTTCTCGATTTCTCAGAATTTTATCAAAAAACAAGAGTTTATCTTCAAATAACCTTAAACACGAACTAATTTCATCAAACGGACACATGATTCTGATTTAGCGACCCCAAAAACGTATAAGTATGGTGGTTTGGTGTATCACAGATGGAATTCTTTACTTAGGGGTTGTACAATTATTTACTCTTTTAGTTGTTAAAGATTCTTAAAATAAAAAAAATAGGATTATTAGGGAGCCAAATAATTTAGGTATTCAATAAGATTGTCTGCTATTGATTGATTGATTAGTCGATTTTTATTAATATTCCAATTGCTTAGATATTTATCAATGCATTGGAATGGCTGAAAATATAACTGGATTACGTAGTTTAGGATTAAAAGGATTTACTAGTAATACAACGTTCAAGTTGTATAGAATTTAAATATGGAAAGATATAAAAAATATTCTAGACAACATTTATGAATAATATATAATTTGTCATTTATTGAAGCTAAATAAGATTTTTGGCTAATCGTAAAATTAGAGCTGCATATACTCTAGGTAGAGATCCAACGAAAAGTTATGATATAAAATTTGCGCAATGTGTTGTTAGCTGTGTTGTGCTAGCATGTCTACATATTCTGATGATGGACGTTCCATTGAAAGCTAAGCGATTCAAAATTGGCAAGCTATATTAATAGGAACATTTTCCGTGCTGGTTACCAGGTTGTAGCTTTAGACTTCTTTATATTACAAGTTTCCTTTTTTAGAAGAAAGTTAAAAACCAGAGATTAAGTCCACTGTCTGGCAAGTATATTACTGGTTTGATGCATAGAGTCTAGAATCCAAAATTTTCTCTTTCTGTGTTAGTGTGCGTGTGTGTGTGTGTGTGATACTAGAATTCTGATATTAATTAAATCTATCGAGTACGTTCTATCTGCTCTGTACTCTGCTCCTGCTCATTTTTCTTAGATATTATTCTTTAGTTCGTATTCTTTGACTTTGTGCTGACATGTCTCCCTGTTTGTCTAAAATATACGTTGTCGCATGTTACGAGATGCTGCATTCATCGGGACCTTAGAGTAGATCGCTCTTGTAGCTCAACTTGGATAAGGCTCACCCTATTTTGATTGTAGAGGCTACTTTTAGGTTTTGTTTCGGTAATTAAATGTCTTTTCGTTAGCGTCGTGTTCCTCAATTAATTGTCATTATTTATTTTTTGCTCACTAATTTGCCAGTAACTTGATAACAAAAAAGATATCGAACCCCTTTTGGCGTAAAAATGAAGTTTTATCCTGCTATTTCACCTTTTTAGGAAAACGTGAAACAACCTAAACTTGTATAAATAGCGCCAATAAATAAACAACACTTTCGTTAGAAATTTCAAACTTATGCTATATTCGTCAATTTTTTGTGCTGAATTCATTTATGTAAAGAAGGCATTGCGTTTATAATTTTTGAGAAAAATCCATAAAACGGCACTCTTTTGAAATAACTCTATCTGTAGGTTTCCATATTGAAGTAAATGACATTACGCATTCACCCAGAGATAAACCATAAAAAGACCTTTGCAACGAGGTATAACACTATGGACTTTTGATGAGCCAATCCTTAAATAATGCATTTTTCTAATCAGACATTAGGGGCTTCTCCCACCTTTTCTGTCGAAAGATAAAACAAAATGTCAATAACACAAGTTATGCGTAATGAATCCGGCTATCCATATTTGTACTATTTAATATACCTGAATAGGAAACATTTCTGAGAAAAATTCAACTCTATGTTTTGGTATGTAGATGCCGAACTACGAACTTGAAAACTGTTTCCAGCAATTATTCTTGGTTGATTTATTCATAAACAAATTTTTGCCTAAGTTCTAGAGCCTATACTTTCCCTAATATCGTATCTCGCCGACCTTAGTGGGACACCCTGTATATGAATTTTGGCGTGCTGAAGCAGGATCCGAAGTTGAAATTATTCTATCACTAATATTTTTACACCGTGCAAAATAACCCTAAGATCTCGGAAATTCCTTCCCTATCTCTGGGAATTTCAGCCAGTTGATACCCGCAAAGAGAGGTGATAGTATTGGAAGATGTGAACATTGTTTCCAGATAAAAAAATATGTTTCTTTTACTCCTTTTTCCTTTTATAACGAACTCCTTATCTTCAAACGATCTATGCATCTTTCACTTTTCTATGTTTTTCTCACCCTCCTTGATACCGACGCTCCACCCTGTTCTTCGCTGTAGTGTTCGAGGTTCTCCGGACATTAGTAAAGATGAGTGTATAGTAAATGCAAGTTCATCTGCCAACTGTTTGAAGTTTTCCGACAATTCCTCAACTAAATTCTGGTAAGCCTCACTCTTGTCCAAGAAATTCTGAGTGGCTTTCTTGAAACTTGGCTATGCTGCTCTTTCAGAATATCTAATTCATTTTTGTGATAAATTTTTAGTTTCTGAATACTCGTACAGTACGGATTTGAGGACCATCGATGATAACTTATTTCAATTTAACATCACCTTATTTCCGAAAACTTCTCTCCTAAATATCCAAAACAGTCACCATCTTTGTTCAAAGTGTAACTTGAGGTGTTATTTCTTTATTTAACCATCTACCGTTATGACCAGTATCATATTGATATTAACTTACAAAAGAGTTTACTGTTTACTTCTCGAAAGGGAGTTTATAATTATCATCTAGTTTAATTAATACGTGGGAACTTATGGACATTGAATTTGGAAAAGCAAGGATACATCAAAACTTCTAGGAAGGTTTTTAGTAACAATAAAACAAAACAAACAAACAAAATAATGAAGACACAACTGATTCGAACAAACATTATTAATTAATTTACACGAGATAACGTAATCCGAGATTCAGGGAACCCAACGCGAATTCGTAGCAAAAGGAAAGACTTTATCCATTATTAAATTAACCTCAGACTCTATTAATTAAAAGAACTGTCAGTGTGGAATCTAAAGAGAAACTGCCCTTTTTTCGGAGATCTCCACCTCTTTTCGACACGCCCATTTCTTGGTAACAGAAGTTTCGGTTCTTATCTTATTGACGGGATCCCTGAATATCGGGGGTTGAAATGGCTTAACTATAAAATGTTAATACCTAATTGACTGAATTTACAATTGTATGGATAATTTTGTGACTAAACTGAACTTACAAGTAACCCTACACCTTCTTCTCGTGACTCCGTATAGCAACACGGGACGGGTTAGTCAATCCCATTAATATATTCTTATAGCTTGGAAAATCCGCCTAAAAACCAGCTATTTGATCT